TTATTTTGAACTATAAGTCATGGATGAATGCTTGTAAAAGGTGGGGTAGTTAAGGGGCTTTTATGTCATTTCTCGTCATGAATGGTTATCTATGATTTATTCTATCTCTGTTCTCTGTTCATGTATGTTTTCGGGGCAGGTTTGCATCACAAGAATGCCCACAAATGAACCAAAGAAGTCGCCAATGGCCTGGACACTCAAAAGGCCTTAGAACCAGCCCCAACAGAGAACAGGTTGACGTGTGGCACTGTTCACGTCAACCGGTATATCAACAGTAGGAACCATCATTGTACAACCCAAACCGATCCCACACATCGACCGAAACCTGTAGCTTCACTGCTTCTTTTTCTGCCTTTGCGCTTTTGTCTACTGTTTCCAATAGCCAGCAGACAATCTGCACCTTCCACTCTATTCTAATGTAAAGTCAGGGAATTTACAAGAAAAAAGTATACTACATAGGGCCTCGTTTCTTTTGACCTCATTCTTTTATTCTCTTACATAATGAAATGGATTGAATATTCATTTCACATTCCTGGTTCACCAGGTTTGACTACGTACTATCAGGAATCGTATATTTAATTTTTTAGGCCGGATATAGAGAAAATTGGTTCGACTTACATGTGTTAAGCATTGCGCTAGCGATCCTTCTGAGGAAAAAGAGTGCTCTTTCTAAGAGTAGGCGAGGATCGAACCATTTCTTCTGACTATTTTTCAAATTTGATAAATGTTGGTTGATCGTATATTTCATTATAGGTCTATGATTCAGAGTATCCTTTCTTATTTGATCCTTTTGAATTCCATATTCGAAGTTGCGATCGAATATATTCATTAAAAAGAATCGATTTAATACATTTCTTATGTACCCATAGATGCTATATTAGATTTGAATCAGATTTTGGATCAACCTATATTGCTTGACTGGCTCCATTATGTTGTTGCTAGCAAATACCATTCTTTTTGGTTTTGGATCTTCCAAATCATTTTTGCAGGAGATCCGGACCCATTTTTTTTATGATTCTTCACTCCTTGGGCCCTGGAAAAAAGAAAGAAACCCAAAATCAAAAAGAAATAAGAGAAATTGGGCCATGTTTCCCGAGAGAGGCCATCTTCTCTCAGGCCAGCAGTCTTTTACTTCTAGTCGACTGCTCTATGAAGGTCTTCCCTGTTTTCTGGGCTCTGCTCACTCGTCTACGCTCCGACCCCTAGCAAGTCATAATCAGAATTAAAAATCAATGTTGGGAATGATGACCTTGGGTTATACTAAACACCATATCTCAATGGATTGACGTAAATTTTCTACCGCATGTACATTCCCATAATGATGGTGTTTTTCCAAAATCTAAATTTGTTGTTCAGCATCTTGAACTAGCCATCCCTTAGAAGGTATTATTAAAAGATCATCAATTCCTAATGAAATGGATGTAGCGATGGCTTGTTGAAAACCCAGAGTTCTTACTTGATATAGGATGTATGATTGAAATACCTATAAATGGCATTTTCCGTAGAAATAGTTTCTTTATCCATAGGCAATGAGTTTCGATGTATTGGGTGCATCTGTATTTATAGAAGCTTTAATTTTCGTGCTTATCTTAATTGTTGGTTCAATTTATACATGGGGAAATAAGGCATTGGAATGGTCTTAGCTCCTGAATATTCAGACAATAAAAAAGAAAAAAAAAATATGATCGACTTTATCAAGAAAGATACTTTTTTTAGGCCAAGAGGTCGTTAACCTCCTCCTCGCATAAGCCTTTATGATCATATTTTCCATTAGCTGTAGCCTGTGATCGCACTAGGGAGAGGAAAGAGGAAAGCTTGCCCCCTATTTTGTTACCTTGGGCCGATCCCCTTGCTCAGCAGCATGGGAAGGCGTACGAAAAAAAAAAAAGAATCGACCGTTCAAGTATTCTAAATTGCATGGAAAAGTTAAAAGAAAGTGCGAGTAACATTTCCTGCTGCAGTTTAAGCAGCAAAAGGTGTCCCCCGTCTTGTACCGCTAAACCCACAACTACCGGCAGAGGACCAAGAAACTACCCTAACCATGTACATGTGTAACAGTCACAATGGTATTATTGAAACTTGCTTAAACATGAATAACCCGCTTTGGTATTCTACGCGCATTCTTACGTGAACCAATACGTGCATTTTTACATAAAGTAGGGGTAGAGAACATACCTCGAGCCAATGATCGAGTACTAGGCGTTACGACGTTGAACTAACCCATGCCATACTCCCAGGAAAAGCTCGAACGACCTTCAACAAAAGGGTACCTGTACCAGAAACCGACACAGGTGGGCAGGTAGAGGTTGGCCACCTATCCTATTCTTATGGTTTAATCAATTACTTCTTCATAATGCTAAAAACAAATTAGGATTCATGTTGGAAATAATAAAAAATCTAGGATTTAGAAGCATAAGAATAAGAGTTGTCTTTCGATTATCTTCTTTTAAAAATGAAACTCTTTTTGAATCACTATGGAATAAAATTGGAAAATCATTTCTATTTTGATCATTTTTTTTTTCTCCCGTTTTTGAATTGTATTGAATCTATTTTCAATTTTAGAATGAACCGCAACCTTATAAAACTTTTTTCCTTACTTCCATTTTAACTCATTAGATTCAGTAGTAGGTTCATTCACATAGTATCTTAAATGAATTTGATTCTCTTTGATCAGTGAACAAAGACCGAAGAAGCAAGAATCAACAAAGGCAAGCCCCTTCACATCCATTTCTGGGCATAGCAAGTCAAGAAAATGACTACTTCCTGGCTCCAGGCACAAAATCCTCAAACCATCCTTCGAAAAGGCAAGGACTTCCTTTATTTGGACATCACCTCAACCATCCCCCATAAACTTCATGCAATAGCAAACCCGGGAACGCCCTAACTCTATAGTGCTTCCGTTTCAAGCTCAGCGTTCCCTTTTTTCGGATACTAAGCGAGCCTCATCTCTTCGATCTGGTGCTTACTTTCCATTAATCCCATCTCCATCCTCAATCATGCAGCTCCTGTGTTTCCCCTTTCCTTCTTTGTTGCGGTTATCTGTCAGTTGTGATCTTCACTGTTTGGTGTCGGGTGTTCTCTACTTCTTTCTCCTTTCTTGCTATCCCTTTTGTTTTTGAGTCCTTTTATTGGTAAGCGTGATCCGTTGGACATAAATTCAATTTTTCAATTTTTTGGATTCCGTGGAATTTATTTTTCTCATTCCTGGTGGTATCAAGATGCCAGTATGTCGGGATATCTTATCTGTCTCTCCCAGAAAATGGATATCTCTAGAAAAGATTTTAAGTTCAATTTTTTTTTTTTTTTTTTTTTATTATTATTTTTTTTTCTCTCCACTCGCACCAACCCGCCTACTCGGCTTCTTGTATTGGAAGCGATTTGTGTTGATTTTCCAATTTTATTCCATAGTGATTCAAAAAAAGTTTCATTTTTGAATGAAGTTCCACGACATAATTCTTATTATTAATAGTTTACCCAAGAGTTGTTGAGGATACCAAAATGACCCGGGTTTGGAGTGATCCACATTGCATAGGATGGGTCGGGTGTGGACGAACGGGATGAAGCCAGTTCGCGCCGTATGGGCCCAGGTCCATAAAGCCATTTCAGAAGCCCATGATAAAATGAGAGAAATCAAGTCCAGCCAAAGGAGAACAAGATAGGACCAGCTCAGTGGAGGTTGTAACCGTCTATAAATAAAAGGGATTGAGAGGGAAAAAGGGGTTTAAAAAAATCATTGAGGGTGTAAAGTTTCTCTCTCTACAATTAGGGAAAAATTCTTTGTACTTTCAATTGGCGCCGTCTATGGGAAGAACGGGAAGGATTGATTGATATCATTCCAGATCGGACTGATTCAACGCATTCTGCGAGGAAGACGACTAATCTGTGAAAGCTGAATCAACATTGGTGATAATACGATTTGTCTTGACGAGTCCAGATCCGATTGATTTCGGAAAATTGGCGTCCAATCCAAGCAGATCAGATCCGTGCTTGATCCGGCGAACTGCGCGGTTGTGATCTATTGTGGTTACTGAATCTGGCCAGTAGTGGACTGAATTCGGCAAGCATAAGTTCAGATCTGGTGTGCGCGCGTTAGCGGAACTCCGATTTGATCAAGAAGCCTGCAGTTGATGACTTTGCTCCGATCTGGAATGATGATCGGAGAGGCGAACCCGAATTCTTTGGAGAACGGCCAGCAGACAAAGCTCGATGAGCTAATGAACATGATCGATGCTTTGAGGAAAGAAAATGCAGAGTTACGAGCTGGAATGGAACATCGAGAGGCTCCTGCAATTTCGAGGCCGCTTCCTGAAGGAGAGGGAGCTTTACCATCCGAAGCTGATCATCAAGGTGATCCAGAAGACGTCAATCGTGATGGTCAACGTCGTGATGAAGGTATAATCGGTAATCTACCTCCGAATGTCGGCCGAGTAGAGGATCGGGAAGGATCTGTTCGTCTAGAACCGCATCACAAACGGATTATGAGGGAGGAAGCACCGGCGTATGAACATCGGATTACGTCACCATGGCGGAGTGAATTTGCGGAGGATAGGTCGTTCGATCCGCCATACCGACCTTCATTAGCAACAGTTGATTACCATAGCTCGGAAAGGAGATCTGCCGATCGAGGATTTCCGTTACGGTTTTCAAGAGAAAACGAAGCACTGCGTTCCTCAGCAAGGACGGTCGCATCGCCGTTCACTGATGAAATTCTGAACGCGCCGAATCCGAAGAAGTTTTCCATGCCGATCTTCATTCTGTTTGACGAAACAACCGATCCGGTCGATCACATATACCATATTCAGTTGAAAATGGCTTTGAATACTAATAATGATCCTTTGATGTGCAAGTGTTTCCCTACGAGCTTGGCTGGACCAGCTCTCAATTGGTTCAAGAATCTGGCTCAAGGCTCAATCGTCAGTTTCCAGGACTTATGTGATTAGTTCAAAAGCCAGTATTACGGGAATAAGTGTTCGGCTAAGGATGTATCGAGCCTTTTTACAATGAAGCAGCATGAGGATGAGCGGCTCCAAGCTTTTCTCACCCAGTTCAACCTCGTTAAAAGCATGGTAATGGAGTGTCACCTGTCAACAGCAGTCCAAGCATTTAAACTCGCAATGAACCCGGGGACACCGTTCCATACCAGCTTGGTGGTTAATATGCCAAAGACAATGGACGAGCTGAACGAGAGAGCTGACGGTTTTGTTCGCCTCGAGGAGGAAGAAGCAGCTAATTCAAGGAAGACGTCAATTATTTCGACGGAGGAGAAGTCCAAAGCCAAGATCCGGTAAAAACAAGCTCAACCGTAACGTCACCCCTCATGGAAGGCGGAAAAGAGGCTCAGGGAGGAGGAATCAGTCACTTCACTCCGAGTCACCTTAGCAAGGCTATACCAGGAGAACAAAGATAAGTTTCGTCCTCCTCTGCCAATCAGGCAACCTCTTGAACAGAGGGATCAGACTAAACATTGTGCTTTCCATATGATTTTGGGCATCAGACTAACGAATGCAGGAACCTAAGGAGGCAGGTAGAGATGCTGATCGCAAAGGGGGAGTTTGCAAGCTATGTTCAGGGTCCGGCGCAAGAGCATAACCGCCCGACTGAACAAATCAAGCGGAACCAGAGGCCGAACCAACACAACTCCCAGCCCGTCCGAATTATAAATGCAATTCATGGCCGGCCTGAACAAACGACGGAGTTGCTCAGGACGAGGTTACGCCAGGCCCAGCTGAAAAGAAGAATTGGTAGTGTGCGCGCTTTACACCAGCAGAACACGTCCACGTCGATAAAGTTTGATAAAACGGACCTACTACGCGTTCAGATTCCTCATGAAGATCCACTAGTCGTTAGTCTAACGATTACAGAATGCCTAGTTCGGAGAGTCCTGATTGATCCAGGAAGTAGTGCGAATGTCATGCCCAGGGTGACGTTCGACCGACTGGAGATTGAACCCGAAAAACTCAAACCCACAGGGAATCCGTTGCTCGGATTTGATGGGAAGCAAGTGGAACTCATTGGAATAGTGGAATTGACAGTACAAGCCGCTGAGCGGGTTTTGACTGAAAGTTTCGTGGTAGTGGAAATTTATCCATCATACAACCTCTTGATGGGCAGAGGATGGATTCACAGAATTCAGGGCATTCCGTCAACCTTACATCAAGTGATGCGATGTTTGGGTCCGGATGGGACCAAAGTGATAGATATACACGGGGACCAGGTTGCGGCTAAAGAATGTTATTCAGTAACTTTAAAATCTGCTGGAAAAGGGAAAAATCCTATCCGTTCCGCCATTCTAAAATAGCAATTACAGAACCCTTCTCCCAACAAGGATGGGGGGGAGGAGCCACCAGTTCTGACCACATAACCCCTTCATGAAGTAAAGATTGACCATGAGAAACCAGACCGAACAACAAGGGTGGGCACCAAACTCACTGAAGAAGAGAGACTATAGTTGACTAATTTCCTGATTCGAAATGCAGATGTATTCGCATGGAGCCATTCAGATATGCCAGGGGTAAATCCTGCTGTATCCTTCCATTCCCTCAATGTGGATCTGAACGCAAAGCCAGTGAAGCAGAAGCAGAGAAGATTTGCTCCAGAACAAAACCAGATTATAGCTGAGGAGGTTGATCGGCTGCTTGAAGCCAGATTCATCAGAGAAGTTTAGTACCCGGCCTGGCTCTCTAACGTTGTTGTAGTGCAGAAGAGAATGGGAAATGGAGAGTGTGCATCGACTTCACCTACCTAAACAAAGCCTGCCCAAAGGATAGTTTCCCATTGCCCAGGATTGATCAAATGGTAGATGCCACCACAGGATATGAGCGGTTAACCTTCCTGGATGCTTATTCCGATTATAACCAAATTCCTATGGACCCAGTTGATGAAGAGAAAACTTCATTTGTTACTGAACGAGGGACTTATTGCTATAAAGTCATGCCATTCGGATTAAAAAACGCTGGAGCTACTTATCAGAGGCTGATCAGCAAGATTATTAAGGACCAGATGGGCAGCACTGTCGAGGCTTACATTGATGATATGGTGGTCAAGAGTAAGAAGAAGAGCGATCATTTAGCGCACCTGCAAGATGTGTTCGATGTGTTGCGCCAGTATGGGATGAAGCTTAATCCAGCCAAATGCTCATTCGGTGTAAGCTCCGGTCAATTCCTGGGACATGTGGTCAATCATAGAGGAATTGAGGTCAGCCCAGCACAGGCAGAAGCTTTGATCAGGAATGTAGAGCCGAAGACAATTAAAGAGGTGCAAGCACTCACAGGCAGGATAGCCGCACTGAGCCGGTTTATTTCCAAGCTTTCGGACCGCTGTAAACCTTTCTTTGATACAATACGAGGGCATGGAAGACAAACCTGGGGGGATGAGCAACGGCAGGCACTAACCAGCCTGAAGGAGTACATGCGTAATCCTCCGGTTCTGTCTGCTCCAGAACCGAATGAGAAACTTTTTCTATATCTCAGGGTGTCCAGTATAGCAACCAGTGCCATTCTGATTCATTGTAAAGAGGGCAAGCAGTTCCCGGTGTTTTATGTTAGCAAGACGATGTCTGAACCGGAGAGAAGGTACTCTAGGGCCGAACGAATGATCTTGTCGCTGGTCAACGCAAAAAGGAAGCTTAGACACTATTTTGAATCTCATCCAATCGTCGTTTTAACAACATTCCCTTTGAGAATGATCCTGCACAAACCGGACCTGTCGGGGAGAATGACCAAGTGGGCCATTGAATTGAGTTCATTTGATATCGCGTACGAGCTCAGGACGGCAATCAAAGGTCAAACGGTGGCGGATTTCCTACTTGATTATGATGCTGAAGATACGGTGGACGATTGTAATTGTTCCTGGTGGAAGCTTTTCGTAGACGGCTCCTCGAATCAAATGGGGGCCGGGATTGGAATTCAATTGCAAACACTAGAAGGAACTACGCTGAGCCAAGCGATAAGACTAGAGTTCAACGCGACTAACAATGAGGCAGAATACGAGGCGTTGATAGCTGGGCTGAAGTTGGCTAAAGAATTGAAGATCAAGAATCTGATGGCTTATAGTGATTCACAACTAGTCATTCGACAAGTCAATGGGGACTATGGGGCCAAGGATGAGACTATGGAAGCATACCGAACTGCGGTTCTGCGTGAGGCGAAAGCCTTTGATCAGATTAGGTTTATCCAATTGCCGAGAGAGTATAACGAAGATGCCGACCGCTTGGCTTGTAGTGCATCCAGTTCTAGAGATACTTTAGCTAAGGTCATCCCGGTCGACATACTGATCCAACCTTCCATTTTTGAAGAACTGCCTAATCCGAGCACTCAACATGTTAATGTTATACCATATGAGCCGAGCTGGATTGATCCAATCATGGCTTACATACGTAGTGGTACACTCCCCGAGAGTAAGGACGAGGCAAGAAGAATTAGGTCCAGCGCAGCAAAGTATGCCATTGTGCACGATCAGTTATATAGACGCTCCTTCTCGGGTCCATATTTGAAGTGTGCTACCCCTACAGAAGCTAGACAGATTATACGAACCATTCATGAGGGAGTATGCGGAAATCACTCAGGAGGAAGATCTTTAGCACACAAAGCAATGACACAGGGGTACTTCTGGCCAAACATGGCACGAGATGCAGAAGAATTCTCTAGAAGATGCGATAAATGCCAGAGGTTCGGGTCATTGATACATCAACCACCTGAAGACCTGCACGTAATGGCCACCCCATGGCCTTTCGCGCAGTGAGAGATGGACGTAGTTGGCCCTTTGCCGACTGCAAGATCGCAGAATAAGTACGTTCTGCTAGCTACTGATTACTTCACCAAATGGGTAAAAGCAGAGCCGTACCCTAGTGTCACCCAAACTCAAGTAAGACGCTTCATCTGGAATAATATTATCTGTCGTTTTGGCATACCAAGGTCAATCGTGATGGACAATGGAACCAACCTCGATAGCAAGTAAGTGAGAGAGCTGCTGGAGGAATATGGAATCAATCAGAAGTTAGCAACAGTCAGTCATCCTCAGGCTAATGGTCAAGCCGAAATCACAAACAGGACAATATTTGCTTGTATCAAGAAAAAGCTGGAGAATGAAAAAGGCAAATGGTTAGATGAGCTACCGAACGTCTTGTGGGCTTACAGAACAACCCCAAGACGGCCAACTGGAGAGAGCCCATTCGCTATGGCCTATGGCACCGAGGCAGTGATACTAGTCGAGCATTTGGTTCCAACTGTAAGGAGTTTGGCGTGGGATCAAGAGCAGAATGATAGAATGCTGAGGTTCAATCTTGATTTGTTGGAAGAAAAAAGGGATGCGGCTGCAGTGAGGCTCGCCTCTTATCAACAGACGCTCGTGAATAGCTATAACAAGAAGGTGAGGCACAGGGGTTTCGCTCCTAGCGATCTGGTTCTGAAAAGGAAGGTGGGAATAGTCAAAAAGATGTTCTCCCCATGGGAAGGTCTGTACAGAATAGCAGAAGTCATAGGGAAGGGGGCATACGTCCTAGAAACTATGACAGGAAGGGTAGTCAATAAGCCATGGAATGTTATGTCTCTGAAAAGGTATTACCAGTAAAAGTAGAGTTTAATTTCAAGCATATTGTACGTTCTAAATTGCATGCTTGCAATTGTACGAAATTTCCATGCTTTATAAAAAGCCTCTTCTTTGTTAAAAATCTACACTCTTCCCATTCAGCAAGTTAGTGGCAGCTGGCACTTCAAGCCGAACGCCAAACACTAGCTAAAAAATAAAAAAGCCAAGTGGCAAGAGGCGTTCAAGCCGAGCGCCAGGCATTCAGCAAATTAATAGCAGTTGGCACTTCAAGCCGAACGCCAAACACTTGCTAAAAAATAAAAAAGCTAAGTGGCAAGAGGCGTTCAAGCCCAGCGCCAGGCATCAGCAAATTAGTGGCAGCTGGCACTTCAAGCCGAACGCCAAACACTTGCTAAAAAATAAAAAAGCCAAGTGGCAAGAGGCATTCAAGCCGAGCGCTAGGCATTCAGCAAATTAGTGGCAGTTGGCACTTCAAGCCGAACGCCAAACACTTGCTAAAAAATAAAAAAAGCCAAGTGGCAAGAGGTGTTCAAGCCAAGCGCCAGGCATTCAGCAAATTAGTGGCAGCTGGCACTTCAAGCCGAACGCCAAACACTAGCTAAAAAATAAAAAAGCCAAGTGGCAAGAGGCATTCAAGCCGAGTGCTAGGCATTCAGCAAATTAGTGGCAGCTGGCACTTCAAGCCGAACGCCAAACACTTACTAAAAAATAAAAAGCCAAGTGGCAAGAGGCGTTCAAGCCGAGCGCTAGGCATCAGTAAATTAGTGGCAGCTGGCACTTCAAGCCGAACGCCAAACACTTGCTAAAAAATAAAAAAGCCAAGTGGCAAGAGGCATTCAAGCCGAGCGCCAGGCATTCAGCAAATTAGTGGCAGCTGGCACTTCAAGCCGAACACCAAACACTTACTAAAAAATAAAAAAGCCAAGTGGCAAGAGGCGTTCAAGCCGAGCGCCAGGCATTCAGCAAATTAGTGGCAGCTGGCACTTCAAGCCGAACGCCAAACACTTGCTAAAAAATAAAAAAGCCAAGTGGCAAGAGGCGTTTAAGCCGAGCGCCAGGCATTCAGCAAATTAGTGGCAGCTGGCACTTCAAGCCGAACGCCAAACACTTGCTAAAAAATAAAAAAGCCAAGTGGCAAGAGGCGTTCAAGCCGAGCGCCAGGCATTCAGCAAATTAGTGGCAGTTGGCACTCCAAGCCGAACGCCAAACACTTGCTCACAAATGAGTAAGAAAAGGACAGAATGGTGACATGGCCAAACGTTAAGCACTTGTGAAAATACACTACAAAGCTGGAAATAGAAAACTCAAAAGAGGAAAGGGATGCTGAGCAAAAACATTATCATTCATAACCAAAAAGGTCTCAAGGTACGTAGTACCATACATAAAATAAAAAAAAAAATAAAAAAAAAATAAAAAAAAAACTACTGCTATTGGATATCAGTTCTGATCTTCTCCAAGCTGTGACTTGTCATTTTCGCCACCATCTTCCTCTGGACCATCGAGATTTCCTCCATTCTCACCTGCCCCGTCATCTTTAGAAGGGGAGTCGAGATGAATCACCCCCTCAGCGGGTACAGGTCTGTCGGCAGCAACAGAGGAAGAGGGCACAATGGTAGAAAGAGGAAGAATGTTCAGGGGATGAAAAGGTGGGACAATTCCTGAAGAGGCGACCTCAATGCATTCAATAAAAATGTTCTCAGCTGGGTTGCATGGTGGATTTTGATAATTGTTTGGGGGGTGGATGTCCAGAGAAGCATCTAGTTCATCAGGACCAGCACAAGAGCTTGATTCACCTTCAGGGGGAGAACGGTCAACAAAACCGTCTCTGTACCCTTCAGCATACCGGATGGCACTAGTCCTGGTAAAGCGAGCAAGGAGAGCCCTCATCCCCCCTTCGACTCTGCTGATCATGTTCATCAGGGAAGACCGTTCATTCAGAAGTTTTTCTTGAGAATTCGCATACGATAACCGTTCAGCAATGAATGAGCGCTGAAGGTCTCCCTTTTCGGCTTTGAGAGAGTCCTTTTCTGTCAGAGCTACACTCTTCTCAGTTTTTAAGACGTTAACCTCATCATGAAGAGAATCCCGTTCGGTCTTCAGAGAATCCCGTTCAGCTCTGAGGGAATCCCTCTCGTTTGCCAGACTGTCTTTCTCTGGCTTTAGGTCAGCAACTTCCTTCTCTGAGTCCCTAAGCTTTGACTCCAGTTCAGCAACTCTGACCTCAAGAAGAGTCTCTGCTTCAACAGACCTTTTGAGGCCCATAGAGAGAGACTTAAGTTTTTTATTCAGAGTTTCAATTGTTTTCTGAAAGGTGAACATCCCGAACAGAGTCTGCATGAAGAAAAAGAAATTCAGGTCAGACTAAGTACAAAGGAATCATAACTGAAAAGGAACACAGTTCAGTGGAAGAAGGGTCACCTCCATAGCAGCGGTCGGGAACCGTTGGAACATCTCACCAAAGGACAGTTTGTTCTGGATTTCAAGGTCTTTGGGGGTCCAAAAGCCCTTATAGAAAGCAAACGAGGTGAGGGGTCTTTATATATTGAGTCAGTGGGGCCAATGGTTGATCCATCTTCACGGCTGAGCAAAGGTCGCCATGGAAGAACGGATGGAATTGGACCAGAGGTTCTGGCCGACTCGCCTTCAGGAATGAAGAACCGGGCAGGGGGCGATGGTTCAGTAACCCTGAAGGAAGTCATCCTTATCCTTCGGGTCGGTGGGATATCATTCTGATCATGACCGCCCTCAGGCATTGGCCTTTTTCCCAAACTTTTTTCCAACAGAGCAGCATTAGCTGGCCCCCCATTGTCCTCAGAATTTCCAGCATCCTGAGTGCTTTCTGAAGAAGTGTCGGACGAAATGTTTGATGGCATAATGACGGGGATAGCAGGACGGACTTCAGCAGTATGGCCCACAACAGGGTTCTCAGCATGGGTGAGCTCAAGGGGCGCATCAGCAGAACGGGTTGAGACTTGAGTCGCAGCTGGGGCAGCCACAACTTGCTCTGGGGCAGAGACAGCAGGAAGAGATGATGTGGAAGCAGGTGTAGGTGATGGAACAACGGCAGGAGCGTTAGAAGGGGTGGGAGCAAGACGCCTCCTCCTGCTGAACGATGGGATCTGAATGTTCTCCATTGTAGACCCTAAAGAGAGATATCAGAAAGATTATCAGATGTAAGCAAATCAGTAGCTGAAGGGACATCGTTCAGCACGTTTTCTTGCAAGGTATCTAGCCTAGCCCTGCAGATGCTATAAACTAGTTCATCATGGGGAATTTGAAGGCATCTACAAAGAAAAGTGCAAAAACAGGGAAGACAACTTTCACAGTGGCATTCAGAAGGATGTGTTTTCAGCTTTTTGTAGCCAGAGACAAAACAGGCTCCAAAGGAAGAAGGGATAGGGAAGGAATGGCTGAGCGGAGTCCGCCAATTCCCACCAACCACAATTAAATTCCGCCTCCAACCCTTTTCAAATGAGCTTTTATCAGTGCAGATTGACCGTTTGTCAATAGGAAAGAAGTGATAGTACAAGTCGTTTTGTGAAATCTTGTTAATCCGATAGCAGAGGAGAAGGTCAATAATGTCAAGATTGAGACCCCTGTCACGATTCAAGAGCAGGAGGACTGAAATTACCCTAAGAAAGTTTGGGTTAACTTGCAGGGGGCAGAGCCCCAATTTGTTGAAAGCATAACAAAAGAATGGGTGTACGGGGAACCTAATGACGTTCAAGTGAACGGCAGAGAATAAAACTTCCCCAGGAAGAAGACCCTCACCAGATCTCTCGTCTAAGTTTGTTGGGTAGACTCTAAGAGAAACGTCGCGAGGGATACAATTCTTGGATCGAATGGCATTCAGGTTAGGGGAAGCCATGAAAAAGGGGAAGAGTTCTAGGCAGTAAAGGCGTCTCTTAAGGAGAGGTTTCTTTTTAAAAAAAAAAACTAACCTTGAAAGTTTGTGATGAACTCAGCAACGGCACAGTAGCTAAAAATCGAAAAGGAAGGACTTGCCAGAGAAATTAAAAAGGATCGCCGGAATGTGCAGGAAAGCAACAGGGAGTAGAAGCAAGAGGTAAGAGAGAGGGTGAAGGAGAGAAAGATCAGAATTTATAAAGAGGAGAAGTAAAAGCGACATGGAACTCCAAAGGTCAAGGCAAAAAGTGGCGCTGCAGATCTCGAAACCTGGGTTCTTGTGCCAGCCGTTCGATTCCTCGAGTTATTGCTCCAAGCCGTCAGACCAAGATCGCGTCCTTTCAATAATCTCACCCTCATTAATGAGGAAAGAGATTATTGGGGGCAGATGAGGATACCAAAACGACCCGGGTTTGGAGTGATCCACATTGCATAGGATGGGTCGGGTGTGGACGAACGGGATGAAGCCAGTTCGCGCCGTATGGGCCCAGGTCCATAAAGCCATTTCAGAAGCCCATGATAAAATGAGAGAAATCAAGTCCAGCCAAAGGAGAACAAGATAGGAGTGGAGGTTGTAACCGTCTATAAATAGAAGGGATTGAGAGGGAAAAGGGGTTAAAAAAAATCATTGAGAGTGTAAAGTTTCTCTCTCTACAATTAGGGAAAAATTCTTTATACTTTCAGTTGTTCAACGAATCTGTTGGTTGGAATCACGGGATGGGTAGATGTCACAGATGATGATTTAAAAGTTTTCAATTGAACTTCTTCTTTTAATTGGTCTTTTTGCTTATCCTCTTATCTTGCAAAAACAGAAACTTAGGTAAATGCTTTATAAACATATGTATAAAAAGAACATATTTCATTTAGCTCTTTTATGCCTACTATAACTAGTTATTTTGGTTTTCTACTAGCGGCTTTAACTATAACCTTGGCTCTATTTATTGGTCTGAGCAAAATACGACTTATTTGAAATTAATTCAATGAACAATTCATAGTATTCTATAGTTACTTACCTCGTCAGTTGTCAAATTTTGGTTATTGAGATTTAGGGCAATTCGGATTAATATTTAGGAATAGATATTACCTCTTTTCTAGTCTTGACCCATCTAATGGTACTAAGGTGTATTATAATGACTTGTAAGGTGCATGGATCACATTCTAGCTATGGAAATCACCATGCTGCCCCACACGACCTCAGGTTCGGTTAAGGACCCGGATAATTATTCGGACTCCCGGGTTCGGGTCATTACAAGCCCCACCCCTAGCAAAGCAAAGCAGGTAAAGAGATTGTAAAAACAAGATGCTTACAAGTGTGATGTAGAATTGTAGAAGTTATATTCTTACATGCTTTCCAATGAAGTAATCATATTCGATGTGCACCAAGGGCCTTTTTTGGCCAATGACAAAAAAAAAAAAAAAAAAAAATTAAAATTGGATGTGCCTATCACTTGTGAAACCTTGATTTCTAGCACTAGTGTACAATTATTAATTATAATATAGTAGACATGATTTAGTAATTTACTTTGTTTATGATTACAAATGTACTATGGTCATAAATTCATAATATATTTGATTAATTAAATTAATTCAGTTTTGCTTTTATTTCTTTAAAATCAAACAGGATTTAGGCAATAATTTGAATTTCAAATTTATTATTAAGTTAATCTTTAACAGAATATAAGAATTCTTTTTTTTCTTTAAAGCCCTATATATTTTTACAAGATTTGAGAAAAATAATATCCAAGTATTTTTTTAAGAGGTGTGAACTTTTTACTAGGGTTATTAAAAGTACAACAATATTATAGTGAGGTAAAACTACAAAAGAATGATGAGTTTAAGATACTGGGGGATTTTTGTTAATAAACTTTAAATTGGGAAAAAAAATCCTTTTGAATAAATACAATTGTTGCTTTACTAACATCCTTAATATTAAGATTGTTGCTAACAACTTACTATAATAACTGAAAATAAAAGAATTACAAGTAAACAAGGGAAGAAATGATTGTCAGTTGCCTTATTAGTGCCTCACGCGCTTAATAGATTAGTATCTCCCGCAAACTTTAGAGTGTCATATTTTTTCACTCTCTGCATATACTAATCTAACCACTAACAATTCTTATCTTGAAAAAAAAAAAAAAAAAACATTGAAATGATTGTAATAGTAACAATTAAAATACACATCAATGATTCTTCTTTTTGCATTTTTCCTGGTAATAAATTATTATTTAATTTTTTTAACAACTTGACAATAAATTTATAAGTTTGTTTGTGACACTTGAACTCACTCACCTTTTATTTTTAAAAAAATAGATTGAAATACAAATCTCTTTAAATTTTAATTAAAAATGTGTAATCGTAATTAATGATTACTTATCATTAGTCGATATTACACTTCGTAATTTCTTTCCTAAAATTACATAAATGTCAAAGTCTAGAGTATTAACTTATACCCAACGGTGATGTTATGACCTCTCACAACACCACTGACATAGCATTCATACATACATCTGTACATACATCTCTCTCCCCTCACTCTACTAGAGAGTAGAAAAGCCACAATATCTCCGTCAATCTCTCTCATCACATTCCGAAAATCACAAACATTCTGATCCAATGTCACACTCTGTATACGGAGATCTAGGCCCTGAGAATTTCTAGTATTGTCTCTCATCATTAATTTTTTCTCTCTCTCTCTCTCTCTCTATATATATATATATATATATATATGATGGATCGTAGACGAACTGATAGTCCGGTTTACGCACGCCAGTGGAGCAGCGAATCGAGCGTTACCGCTGGCTCTCCGGCAATGTCGCCGGTGCGTCACCACCACTCGCGGTCGTCGTCCACCACCAGCATTTCCAACATCAAGCGGAATCAGAACTTCGCCGCCAAGGCCGCCGCTCAGCGGCTCGCTCAGGTCATGGCTACTCAGGCGGCCGACAATGATGACGACGAGGACGAGGACGATGAAGATTTAGGGTTTCGATTCGCTGCTCCTCTGCCGCCATCTCTTCCCCGAACAGTCAACGGCAACAACAACAGGCCGGCGATTCCCTCTTCAAAGATCAATAGATCTCCTTCACCAGCAGTAATTTCGATTGTCTTTAGTTTTGCTTCTCACTTCATTTTTAATTATTTGGTTTATTGCAATGAGGTCGAGTTTGAATTCAATTTTCAACAATGATAGTAACAGATTCAAAATTTGGTGCTGCATTCGGTTCTTGACTCTGTTCTTGCGCATTAAGCGGTTTGATGTTGATTGTTTACTGAACTCAAGTTTCAACTATTTGTTCAGTATAATGTAATGATTCTAATGAACGATTCATGTCATAGATCATAGTGTGAATTGTAATCAGGTGTAGGATCATCATTATGTGGATTGTATCTGTGGATATTGCTTTAACTGCATTAATAATTGTCAAAAGAAAAATAATAAAATAGAAGAAAGGTTCGATGACAATCATCTATCTGGAATTTATTCTGGTTTGGGAAAGATTTTGAGTTTTTTGACATGCAGTATAATTGATGCAGCTATATATATGTGTGTGTGGTGTTTAAATGGGTTTGAGTAGATGGTTTAAAATAGAATGCTAATTGTATTATCTGTTATTTTTATCAGTTAGCCCGGAACTTTGTAGAAGAAACTCCATCAGTTCGCTCAACTTCAGCTGGAAGGCTATCAATGTCTATTCGTACAACTCCATCATTACCACCTGCCAGAACATCTCTAAGGACTCAAATTCCTATACCACCAATTGATCCTCCTAGGCAACGAGAGAAAAGGTAAAGAAAATTCTCTGTTATTACTTTCTCAAGTACCATTAGTCTCACAAGTCAACATTAAAAAGGAAAAAAGAATTTGGGAAAAATTTGGTTACACGCAATTGGCACATTGGACATGTCTTAAGGTGTAACACCTCTAAAATTATATCATGCTGAAAAGGGAAAGGAGAAAAATATTTCACAAAATGTTGAATGGACTTGAAGAATTACTCCTCTCTTTTGTTTTTGCTTATTTGTTATTTAGGCTCAGTTATTCAGAATGAAAGAAAAAAAAAAAATGGTGATAATGTTAAACATACCTTCGAGGACGGATGGGTTAAATAGAGGAGTGCACGTAATATGTTGTGTGATTGGCATGTTCCGTTAAGATTGAAAAGCTAGTTATTTGAATAGTTATTAGAACAACCGTTCCTTATTGGACAAAATGCTGGATAGAAAAGCTAAGAATAACATATGCATAAAGTGAGTATGGAGGGAGTGCAAATGTTGAGATGGATTTGCGGCAAGATAAGAAATGATAGAATTAGAAACGAACACATTCTTGAGATGTTTGAAGTAACACCAATTGGAGATAAAATAAGCGAAAATTGATTATGATGGTTTGGACATGTGCAAAGAAGACCATCTAGTGTGCTAATTAGGAAAAATGACACTGTCCATAGCTGTGTTATGGGGATTCTTCAAAAGTATGTGAAATACTCGTATCGGACGCATGACATTTGGAAAAGGGAATGAAATATGGTTTGGTTGGACATTTGCCTAAAATGTATTACTTAGTATAATATACCCTCAAAATGATTTAAATGCCTATTTTGAACATTATGTTATTATATATATATATATTTTACTCTATAAGATAAAAGAATAATATAAATAGTATGGATATTTACTGGTGTACCTATTTCCTTTTATTTGGGGATTTGATCCATCCGACACTTGCACACATACCTGCACCTGACACAGTATCCGAGTCGAGGTAACATAGGTCCACATCGAGGGCAATGCTAAGGGAAGGGGACGATCAAATTTTACTTTGGTAGAGCTAGTAAGCGAGGAAATGGAAACATGTGGTTTGACTGAGTTTAGTTAAATTGGAGAGAAATATATACAACAAGCTGGCTGTAGGCACTGGAAATCATATCTCTCATGACAGTTACACCTGTCTGTAACAAACCAAACAAAAACAAAAAATCTAAGCTGAATTGGTGATGAAGAAAATGTTCAAAATTGTTGAAAAGACAAGGAGATTGTGACCATTACTCCCAGTCTTTGATTTCAGAAGATTTGGAGCTTCTTTCTTTGTTTAAAACATGGCTTCTTAGGCAGTTAGGCCTACAAAATAAGTTAGGAACCTAAGAAGCACGGAAACGGATATGACACGGACATGGCGACACAGTAAATCCTAAAAAATTAGGACACGGATATGGTGGGGACACGGCGAATAATAAATATATATTATATATATCATGTTATACTTTAAGAAATTAAGAGTAATATTATCTTTTATCAAACTACTAATGAATTGTTTTTTGTGTTTGCTGGGTAAAAGAAAGAGAGGAAGAAAGAAATAAAGAGGATTAGGGTATAGTTAGGGGTTTTTCATCATTGTTCATCTCCCCTTAAACTTCATCCTCATTTGTTTCATCATCTAGCATTTAAAGAGAAGTTGGAGCATTAAATGGACAGCATTAGCCCAGTCATTTCTTATAGTAATTTCAAGTCAAAATTTCATACAAATAATAAAAATACATTTGACTACTATTTAGAAAATAAAACTGAAGGTCTATATCTTATTTCTAATTAGAATTTTATGAACTATGTATTTACCTCTGGGCTGTTCCCACATGAAAATAAGGTTGTCTCATCCGCTGCTCTTCAAATAATGATTAATTTTTTGCTCAAGGGTCTTGTAAAGATGATCACCAAAGAAACTTGTCACTAGCTTTCTTGTGCATCCAGATTTGGTCCAAAATTGGGGACAAGAAAGCTAGTGACAAGTTTCTTTGGTGATCATCTTCACAAGACCCTTGAGTAAAAAATTAATCATTATTTGCAGAGCAGCGGACGAGACAACCTTATTTTCATTTGGAACCGGCTCAGAGGTAATACGTAGTTCACAAAATTTAGAAATATGATATAGACCTTCAGTTTTATTTTCTGAATGGTAGTCAACTGTATTTTTATTATTTGTATGAAATTTTAACCTGAAATTACTATAAGAAATGACTGGGCTAATGCTTTCCATTTACTGCGTCTACTTCTGTTTAATTGCTAGATGATGAATTCAGGAAGACTGACTTCGCTGGTACCAAGTGTCACCATCCAACTGGGCCATAAATCCTACTGACCTCCACAAATTCTTAGAAAATTGAAGCCCAACTTTAGCCCTCTTTGAGCATCTGTTCTTGTTTCGGTTGTTGAAGTATAGGCTTCCCCCTTGAACTATTCGCAGGATGAGCATTAGTTTGATTGAAGCAGTATTAACCAAGGTTGTTAAAATCGGGATTCTACGTAGGATCGTTGGGGATCGTAAGATTCTACCAAACTAGTAGAAAAACATTTCAAACTAATATCTCTAAGATATAGCAAAGATAAGTCCAAAACACAAAACTTGTATAGAAGTACCACTCCAAATATAATGTATAAGAGAATGAAGTGCTACTAATATATCCAAGTAATTCAACTAATCAAGTTTCAAACTTTCAACATCAATTCAATTATATATGAATTATATATATATATATATATAAAAGAATTATATATATATATATATATATATATAAAAGAATTATTACTAACTCAGATGCTAGTGCTACTAACTATATGAATTACTGAATTATGAACATGGTACAAACATCATACACTGACCAAAATTATCAAATTTATATCCAAAAACATAAATGGAACATAAACAGAACAGATTAACAAAGGTGCAACTGAACAAGAAATACCCATGCCTATCAATTAGGAACATCCGAACAAGAAACAAAGAAACCAAAAAAAGGCCTGATGTCGAAGACCAACTGAATTTGGAGTCTTCTATGTTCACCAAATTCAGAATTTCATCTTTATCTTTACTGTTTTGGGTCCCAAGATTGTTGGGATTTCTTGTTAAAAGAGCCCAACCCATCAAAACAGCGTGTCAGCGCAAAAATACAGGGCCAAACAAGGCACACAATAAAATCGTATAGAATCAGTAGAATCTTACTGTTCTACTGTACGATTCTACCATATGATTCTACGATTCTACCATACGATTCTACGTTTCTACCATACGGTCCATACGATTCTACGATTCTACCCCCATTCTACCCAAAGGAGTGATTTTCATGCGATTTAACTCGTTTTGGGGGTCTAGGATCGTAGAATCGCGATTTGAACAACTTTGGTATTAACAGGAACTTCACAGTGGAAAGAAAAGCAGGAACTGCATTGTTCTTGCATTTCTTCACTGGTGACTTCTTTTTCTTTCTTTTTGAGAGCTTTTCAAGCTTGAAACGTAAACTTGAACTCAGGCTAGGCTCTCCTCTTGAAACAAATGAGGATGAAGTTTAAGGGGAGGCGAACGATGATAAATCCATAAAAAGAGAAGAAATTCATGGAAACAACAGAAAATATTGTTGTGAAAGGAAAAAAAGAAGTATCAAGGGTTTGTGAAGAAAGAAAATAAGAACAAGAGGAGGAGAGAGAGGACCATCCACCGGCAGCAAAGCTTGGTCGGTGGGAGAACAAGAGAGAGCCAAAGTTGATTGTGCAAGAGTTTGAATCTTTGAACTAAAATATAAGCCTAAATATATGATTATTTTAATATAAAATGGTTTCATAAAAATTAACTTTTAAGTAATTATGTAATGACTACCATATTATGGGAAGTTATTAAACAATTCCTCATACTTACACTTCAACACAACTTTCTTAAAAGTCCCCAAGAATGCACTTATCAAAAAAAAAAAAAAAAAAAAAAAAAAAAACCAGACATATTTTGGCGTGTCCAACACATGTCGAGGCGTGTCCGGCGCGTTTCGGTGTCCAATACGGATTCTTTGCCCTTTTAGGTGTGTCAATGCTTCCTAGTTAGCAACTAATCTTTTTGTGTCTTCTTAAGCCTTTTTACCCAATGGATCTCTCCACTCTAGAACTCTCTAATTCCCTTAAACTTCTTTTGGTTCCTATATTTCTTTGGAATGAATATGTTATTATTGCTCTGAGTCTCCTTGAGGTTTCCTTCCTTTGAGGAGTTACCGAGCAATCGTAGTCAAAGAGAGGAGTTCCCAAGCAAGCATTATTATGGGTCTCCTTAATTGGAGCACAAGAATCAAGGACATCAAATATGTTAGAGCAACTAACAGTTCCCTTCCTCTTTACCTTTTGAAAATGAAGAGTGAACTATCTTTTTACCTTCTTTTAAGGAACCTAAATCTGCTCATTGGGTTGATTTTCTTCTCACAATCCATTGTTATTTAGTGGTTGGTTTCACTTTGTTTGGAACCAAATTCCTTTGGGATTTGAAATTGGAAATGGAAAAGGAATTGGACTGTAATTAAATAAAATTCTATTTTAATGTTTGGAAGTTGTAAAAAGGAATTTGAAATAAAATAAATTTTGTATCTGTTTGGGATAAAGAGATGTGGCAGTTATGAAGGAGGTTTGTAGAATTAGAGACCAGAAAACAGTTAATAAAAGGATAATTTTGTAATTACATTTCAAATCCCATCAAATCCTATAATTTTTCCTCGGATTTCTCCACCTTACCAATTTTCCTTTAGAATCCCATCAAATCCCTTTCCCTTTTAAAATCCCATCATTTGAAACAAGTGATTTTTAAATTCCAATTCCTATGAAATCCCAAGGTTCCAAACACAGTGTTAGGAGCGCTCAAAGGTCTCAAATATTCTATAATTTTTGAGATCTTCAAGAGAACTCCACCGTAATTTCAAGAGGTTCACCATAGTGGCATAGCCAAGATTTAAATTAAAAGCTGTTGTGATTTTTTGATTGGCTAGTATCCCCACACAAATTTGGGCAAAATCAAGTCTAGCCTTTTTGTCGAGTTTGGTCATTAACGTATAAAGTTTTATTTTTTTAACTAAAACAATCTTCCGTCAATGATTAGAGTAACGTTGTAAAATTTGACCAAACAGAAATGCAACAGAAATAACTGCATTCTGGGTTGCCATATCTTAGGTACAATAAGCTTGCCACCAAAATAATAGGGGCCACCATCAATGATTCTCTGAAGGGCAATTGCACTCTTGCACTTGAACAAGGGTTCAATGACCCATTATCAGTGCTACACACAAATTGGAAAGGAACATTTTGTCTAAAAGTACCCAGCTAATTTGATAATTTGGGAGATCTTGGAGGGGCATGAACAGTTGGTTCCTTGTACCCAAGGTCAGTTTCATGGCCTTTGCTTTGGCTTGAGGGAAGAATCCTTTTCTGAATGTTACACTAAGCTGTTGCATGTAATTGGGGAATTCTAGGCTTACCCAGTATTTTTGGATCGTATCCATCTTAGCTAGACTGGTGGATGGTCCAGACGGTTAAGATGCCTCAATCTGGTCATGTTGGCTGGATCAGCTAGTTGGATGCTTTGGTCATGTCGGCCAATTCATTTAAGTAACTGAACCCACCAGGTTGGGAGCCAAGCCAGTAGGGCGAGCAGCACAGTGGTGAATGTGCCTCCATTGTACTAAAGCAGTTGGAACCAGTTTCAAATTTGAATCCAAATCCACTTATATAAAATAAAAAAACAAAAAATTGAATCCAAATCCAAATACAAATATTGCTTTTGATACCAAGAGTTAGTGCCTCTTGTCATTGTGGTTGCACTTGCCCAGATTAGCTGGAGTTCTACTCAGTAAGCAAACTAACAGCCTCCAGGATCAGGAGAGGAACACGCCTCTAGAGAAGCATTATCTGTTACCATATGGAAAAGATGACTGTGTACATTTATGTGCTTACTCAATGCTCTTGTGAATTCATTATCCTTTGTGTTTGTTTGTCTATGTGTATGATGTGCATGTAAATGTATCAACTGCCTAGCTTGTCCTACATCAAATGGACGGCAGTTCTTGAGCAATATTTTCTACTCTGTTCATTTGATATGTAACCACACGGAGAAGTTCATATAGTTCACTTTTTGTAATAAGATGAGAACAAATACTAACATGCATTGCAGATTCTCATCAGATATGGGGCAAATAAACTTGAAAGAGACGGGAGATCAACGCGAGGCTTCTGCTCTTCGTGATGAAGTATGTTAATTACATACATTCAGTTTTCAATGGTCTACATCTGAATATGCATATGGAGTTTTTAATCTAGAGATGTAAGATGAGGGTGTTATATTGTTATGTTTTCATATGCTTGAAGATTCACTTTTAGGCTAATGTCTAATTGTTATGCAGCTTGATATGCTACAAGAAGAGAATGAGAATATTGTTGAGAAGGTGCATCTCCCTCTCTCTCTCCACGCGCGCACGCGCGCGCGCACACACACACACACACAATCCTCAACCCCGGAAGGGGGTAGGGGGCCAAATTTTCCTGGCTTAATGTGATATTTATAGTTTGTGATCTGTTGTACAGCTCAGAGCTGTGGAAGAAGGTTGTGAAGAAGCACAAGCTAGAGTTAGGGAGCTTGAGAAACAGGTCATATCTTTATTATTGTTTGTTGTACAGTAGAATGTAAAAGGATGTGCTTGGCTTCTAATTAGAATCTCTTGTTTAGGTCTTTTTACATGGATGAGGCCTCCATATCTTGTCTGGCTTGCTTGTAATTTTTCTTGATTGATTCCAAAGGGGATACTATAACAATAAACTGACATTTCGGGTTATGTAATGCTAGGCTTCTTGTGGTGATAAATTATACCCAACACTGGCATGTGTGGAGGATTATGTTAAACTCATTGATGTGGTTTTCCTACTTTTCCTCCAGGGAAATTAAGATTTCATAAAATTGCCTAGGAGTAGATGCATTACCAGCCTACCCCTCCCAACACTGCATTGGTGGATGAACAGTGGGTGATGTTATCTGAGGCTGCCCTACTTTTCCTCCCAAAAGATAGAAGCTCTTTTCCCGAATCTTTCTGATATCCTAGAGCAAAGACTTTACATGAGGTTGCCACTTAGTTCTTATAGAGAACTTATTATTTTTTTAAATAAATAAAAAATTTGTGAAGTTAAGCCACAAATATACTTCTATCAATTACTTATGGCTTCATTTGGAAATATATTGCATGAATATCATTTTTGTTTGCGTGTTGTATATGCCCGACAACAATGTGCTTCCAACCTATCTTAATACTTTTTTTTGATAAGTAACTTATCTTAATACTAAAACACCAACAACAAACAAAGACTTTTTCAAACTATTTGGAGTCGGTTACACGAAGCCCTATCTAAGGTGAAGAACTCAGTCAAGCCACATGTTATTACATCTTCTCTTGCTAACTCTACCCAAGTTAATTTTGTCTATCCCTTCCTCTAGCATTATCATCAACGTGAACCATGTCATTGTTTTTAACCGGTGCACTTAATGGTCTTCTTTGTACATTCCAAGCCATCTAGAAAAATTTTCTTTCACTTTATCTACAATGAGTTTTACTTTAACCATCTCACGAACTCGTTCATTTCATTGTATCCGTTCTTGTCTTGATGCACATCCATCTCAACATTCACATTTCCTGCACTCTCGCTTTGTGCATATGTTAATTCTTAGTTGCCCATCATTCCGTCCCATAAATAATGGCTAGTCTAGTAGCTGTTTTATAGTCGATCACACTATTCCTGACACACTACTCCATTTAACCCACCCTGCCTTGATTCTACAATTAAAATCATATACAATTTCTCCTTCATTGTGAAAAATTGAGCGTAATTGTGGAAATGTTCACTTTTTGGTTTTGAATCTTCACTACATCCCTCTTTGTATTTCTAGATTTACTAAAGTTTGCTAAACTTCTGTAATTGTGATAATGAAATCTTGCTGCTTGCTTTTGTTTTCTCAGGTAGCTTCTCTTGGAGAAGGGATATCTTTGGAAGCTAAATTATTGAGCAGGTATGTTGTTAGAAAATGCCTCCAAGTCCACCATTTTGTATAGGTTGTTCTGTTTATGGTAGTTTTTATGTCATGTTCTGATCGTGATGTCTCCTGTCATTCATTTGCAGAAAGGAAGCCTCATTGCGACAAAGAGAGGTAATTTGGGAAATTTGAGTTATTCGTTTTGAGTTAATAAATGACTCATATAATAGTTAACTAGTGGTCTGTACATCCCTTTGGCTTGAGTTTGACTTCGATGAGTGACATCTTGGACTTAGGCCATGGAATGGCCTAAGTGAAACAATTCCTTGTGTTCGTTACAGAAATAAAGTTTTGGAATACATGAACAGATTGGAGAATGTCATTTTTATATATGGCATGGTATTCCAATTTTTTCCTATCTGCCATTCAAGTATGTTGAAATAATATTTATTATCACAGGTTGCACTTAGAGATGCAAAACAAACGAAAGATGGGGCGGATGAGGAAATTGCATCCCTTCGATCTGAAGTTAAGGTAAAGTATGATACTAACTGGACATTAATGTCTCTCTATTTTTTAGTTTTATATTACTGCTTAATTTAATGTTTATCGTTCTGCTGTTGGTGCTGCTGCTGCGTTATTATGGTTTGATATTTTTGCTTGATTCAGAATGCAAAAAGTGAGGCTGCCGTTGCTGTGGATCAGCTGCAGGGAACTGAATCTGAAGTTAAAGCTCTTCGTTCAATGACACAAAGAATGGTTCTGACTCAGAGTGAAATGGTGTGTATTCATATAGTTGCACAGAGCTTAGAAATATCATATGTGGATTAATTGTATTCACCTATCTGCATTGCAGGAGGAAGTTGTGCTTAAGAGATGTTGGCTTGCGCGCTATTGGGGCTTAGCTGCCCGGCATGGTAATCTATATGTTACAACTATGATGTGCTTAAGAAGGTCTTTTTTATTTTTATGATTTTTTATTTGAGTAAATTACACTTGCACCCCCTGAGGCTTGCCCTAATTACACACAGTGGTTGAAAATGGCCTTCATTACACTTGCCTCCCTTATTGCCATCAAGCAGCTAATGTGCATCTAAAATGATATGGAAATGTCATTACCTCTCTCGTTTCTTTTTCTCATCTCTGTCTCTCTTTTTTCTCTCTCGTCAATCATTATCCTCATAGTTTCTTCCCTGATAAAGATTGAACCATACCAACCATAGTGAGGACACAACCTGCTTGACTCCATCCGATAGTTACTCGTTTATGTGATTGGACACAATGAGGTTCACACTGATGGCACTGTGCGCAATCCCTTACCGAGTACCTTGGCAGCTCAGTGAGGAGCCTATTTGTTTTTCTCAGGCTGTTCGGTTTCCCGAATGGCGCGCTGCTATGATTGATGAGTTTAATGCTCTCCTTAAAAATCGTACTTGGGCCCTGGTTCCTCCTTTGCCTCATCACAACACTGGTTTTCAAGCGTTTTTAAGGTTAAGCATCTAGCGGATGGCATGGTTGAACGTCACAAAGCCCGCCTTGTGGCTAAGGGCTTCTATCAACAACATGGTCTGGATTATGATGGGACTTTCAGCCCTGTGGTTAAGCCTACCACTGTTCGTACTATTCTCAACATGGCAGTGTCTTCTGGATGGGACAACATTTAGATGCCAAGAATGCCTTCTTGCATGGTTTTCTCCATGAGATAGTTTTTATGACTCCGCTCACAAGGTTTGTTGGTCCCCAGTGCCCTCACCATGTTTGTCAGCTTCAGAAGGCCACCTACGGGCTCAAACAGGCACCTCGTGCATGGTTCCAACGATTTAGCTCCTTCCTCGTCCGGTTTGGATTTACACAGTTGCGTCGACTACTCTATGTTTGTATTTCAACACTCTTCTTAGATGATGATACTATTGGTGTATGTGGACGACATCGTGCACATTAGGAACACACCTTCATTGATCTCATCCTTTATCTCCACTTTTGGTATAGAGTTTGAGATAAAGAAGGATCTCTGTCCTCTTCATTACTTTCTTAGCTTTGAGGTGTCCCCCTTTGCGCTCTGGTCTACATCTTTTCAGACTCGATACGCTGTTGATCTCTTACGCCGCAGTTCTATGGTCGATTGCAAACCATATGGTATCCTAATGAGTGCCACGACATAGCTCTCAGCCCTAGAGGGTGATCCACTTTTGAACTCTGTTGAGTATGGCCGCTTTGTTGGATCTCTTCTCTAACCTGTCCAGACATTGCCTCTGTGGTTCATCATATTGCTCAGTTCATGAGTGCTCATCAGACCACTCATCCTGCTGTTGTTAAGTGCATTATGCACTATCTCAATGGCACTTTGGATTTTGGATTGGTCTTTCACCCTTCCTCTGGTGCTGTAGTCCTTCATGTCTTCTTTGATACTGATTGTGCTGGTTTTCCTTATAGTTGGTGTTCCACTTCTGGGTACTATGTTTTCTTGGGTCCGAATCTCATTTCTTGGAGTGCCAAGAAACAACCTACTGTTTCTCATTCGAGTTTTGAGTCCAGTACTGCGCACTCGCTCATGTCAACACCTTTAACATGAGCTTCATGTGCCCTTCTCCACACGTGTCATTCTCTACTGTGACAACCTCAGCACTACATACATGGCATCCATTCTTGACTTCCGTGCTCGTACTAGGCATATTGAGCTTGATTACTACGTCATTCGGGAACTAGTTCTCTTTGATGGCCATCGTGTTCAATTTGTTCCTTCCGCCAACCTATGTTACCTGGATTCGGGTTCGGGTGTCGGACTAGAAGTCGGATCCTTTCATCTTTGAAATTATTGGATACAGATACTCGGCTAAAAAGGGTCCAAAAGTTGGACACGGTTATAATTATTATATAGGGTTACAAAGTATAGGTCATTTATGTATTATTTGAGGGTAGGATGGTATTTTGAAATAAAAACAAGACAATCTTGTAACATTTATTATTTATTTGAAAAGCAAGTAGTTGGAGTAAAAAGTAAATGTAAAAGTTAAAAAGTTAAGTCAAGGTAAAAGTTAAAAAGTTATGAGTCAAATGTAAATGTACAAGTTGCTGAGTAAAACAATCACAATGTGATAAGATTTATATTTTATAAGAAGACTGTCAGCCACAAATAAAAAGTGACGGTAGCTGGCAGCAACAATCTATTAAATACACTAGGGGTGGCAAAAGTTGACACGACTCGCCAACACGACTCAAACACGACACGAGTTGAACGGATTTGGGTTGACCTTAAATGGATCAACACGATTAACCCGTTTAATTAATGTCGTGTTTGGGTTAAAGGGTTCAACCCGTGTAACCCGTTTATACACGTTTAACTATATATGTCGTAAATAAATTTGTATTTAAGTTCTAAAATTACTATATAAACTTGTGTCTTATAATTTAATCTTTTGTAAACTAGAAACTATTTAGTAATTTGGTTGATTAAAACTTATATTTTTTTTTAGTATTTATTATTTTATTGAGTAATATTAATAATTTAAATAATATAATTTTTTTTTTTTTTTGTAAATAAGTCATTAAACGGGTTACACATGTAACCCGTTTAATAAACAAGTCGGGTTAGTGTTGAGAGCTCCTAACACGATTATTAAACGGGTCGGGTTCGGGTTGAGCTGTTTAGTATAATACCCTTAAGTTGACATGACACGATTACGATCCGCGAACACGAATTGCCACCCCTAAAATACACTTTTAGATCTGAAAGGTTGCATAAAAAACCATACCTCGATCAGAAGAACAAGACTTGCGCGTGAAGAACCTGTCATCTTCAACCTTAAAAGACCCTAATGTCGAACCAGCAACCTCTATAAACATGCTAGAAGGCATTCGATCTAATAAAGAGACATGAAAAAAAAAATTCAGATCCTTCACAAGCATCGACCAATACAATCTTTTGTGAGCATGTCTTCATCAATCGTTCGCCAGTTGTGTCCGATGGTGCGAAAGGGTGTCCGACCCATATCCAATGTCGGTGTCTATTTCGTGTCATGTCGACACGGACACCCTGGGCTGGTTAGGCGAGTCCAGGTAACATAGCCGCCAACCAAACTACAGATATCTTCACCGGCTTCACAAACATTGCTTTGAGCTTCAGCATTCCAAACTCCTCCTCCCTAGACCGTTGAGTTTGTGGGGGAGTATTAGACAGCCCCCTTAGATTTAGGTTTGATATTAGCTTTTATATTTGCATATATTCTATTACATATGTCTTAGGTTAGCTTGCATTTAGCATTAGATTTGGCTTGCCTTTCATGTAAAACACATATAAATACCCATATTAGGATGAATACAATGGTGTTAATTTTTCCAATTATTTAACTCTCGTAGAAAAAGAAAGGGATGACTGAAAATCGTAGGTTTTGCCAGACAGTTATGTTAATAGGAATGTGGAGACTTACCTGATCGGGAATTCACTAGATAGTCATCGGGTCAGTGATTGGAGATGTTACGACAAACGTTGTGAACCAAAAACAAATCAAGAAACACAATAGTAAAGGAAACACACCACACAAAGAACACAAATATTTTCGTGGTTTGCCAAAGCCTACGGCCACGGTAATGATTCGGTGAATGATCTCAGTAGAAATATAAAAAGAAGAAAAATGAGAGAATTGTGTAAAGGCTTGAATGAGATAAATCACTCATTCAAAGCTCTAGTATTTATAGATAAAAAGAGCACATGTTCATATTACAAGAAAGGAAACTAAATATAATCTAAATCAAATCACAGCATATTCTATGGCATATTCTATAGCATAATCAAATCTCTGCTAATATGGTAAGTCATTCCATAAATCGTGGCTATCATACATGCTAACACTCCACCTCAAGTTGGTGCGTGGATATCTGAAATACCCACCTTGGATAATGCATTCTCAAACACAATCTTACTGACGCCCTCTGTAAGAATGTCTACAAGATGCTGAGAGCTTGTGACAAATGGAGTGCAAATTTGACTAAAGATGATTTCTCTCGAATGAAGTGACGGTCCACCTCTATATGCTTAAACTGTCATGCTGAACGGGATTTGCTGCTATGCTAATGGCAGACTTGTTGTCGTAGTAGAGTGAGAATGGAAGCGACAAGGCACAAGTCTGTCGTCAAGGTTTTCATTCATAACAACTCACATACCCAAGAGCCATAGCCCTATACTCTACCTCTACATTAGATCGACTCTACCTCTACACTAGATCGAGAGATAACGTCTTGCTTCTTACTGCGCCAAGTAACCAAGTTACCACCAATAGTGGTACAATTACCTGAAGTTGAACTCCTATTTGAAATTGATCCTGCTGCATAATCAACATCTGTCCAAGCCTCAACACGTAAGTGACCATGATTGGCAAACAAAATACTGCAGCCTGAACACCCTTTTAAGTAACAAAGGATCTGAATAGTTGCATCAAGGTGAGGAGTACCAGGAGAGTGCATGAATTAACTTACGACACTCACGGCATACGCAATGTCAGGTCGAGTCATGGATAAATAGATGAGCTTCCCCACAAGTCGTTGATATTGACCAACATCTGACAACAACTCCCCCTCAGAATCAGCCAATTGATGATTCTACTCAATCGGAGTATCAGCAGGACGAGCGCCAAGCTGACCAAAAGTAGAAAGCAAGTCAAGAACATACTTGCGTTGAGAGATGAAAATTCCAGCCTTAGAGCGAGCCACCTCAATGCCCAATTAGTACTGTAGGGGACTAAGATCCTTAATCTCAAACTGAAGGCCAAGATAACTCTTAACCTAAGCAATTCCGGTAGTATCATCTCCGATAAGAACAATATCATTGACATACACAATGAGAGCAACTGTCTTACGGCTTGAATGATGTAAAAACAAGGTATGATCAGCTGCCCTTTGATGGAAACCAAACTTGAGCAAG